ACCTGCTACCGCCCCACACTCTATCAGTAAGGATATTTTCTTTGAACTTGGGTCTGAGATCCAAACCTATGAGGTGTCCTGGTTTTTTATGATATCTAAAAAATTTTGATATTTCATTCACATGATAGTTTTGAAAGATGAGGTTCACTCAGAACAATCTGGCTGACCACCCTGTTAACCCTGAACATGTCATTTCTCACACTGGGGTCTCTGGACCTCTTCCTCTGTATCTGTGAATCTGTTTCAGAATCAAGAGATGAGCACGTGCAGTGGCTTACTGCCCCTCAGTGAGTTTGGAATCAGGAAGTACGTGCTCTCCAACTTCTTCCTTCCTTCCCTCCCTTCCCTCCTCTCCCTTCTTTCTACATTCAACATTGTTTCACTATTCTGGGCCCTTTGAATTTTCATGTGAATTTTGGAATCAGCTTGTCAATTTCTGTAAAGTAGCCATTTGGGATTTTTGTAGGAATTGTATTGAATCCATAGGTGATTTGAGGAATATTGCCATTTTAACAAAATTAAGTCCTCTGACATTTAAACATGGGTGCCTTTCCACTTATTTAGGTTTTTAGATTCTTTCAACAATATTTTTTAATTGTCAGAGTGTAATGTTTATGCTTCCTCATTAATTTTATTCCTGAGTATCTTATGCTTTTTGATGATACTATAAATGGAATTGGTTTCTTAATTTTGTCTCAGATTATTCATTGCAAGCATGTAGAAATACAGTTGATTTCCACATGGACACTCAAAACCCTTTTAGGGGTAGTTTATTGGTTCTTTTTTCTTTGTGGAAGATTTCTTAAAATTTTCTATGGACAAGGTTATGCCATCTGCCATAAATGGTTTTGTTTTGTCCTTTCCGATCTAGATGCTTTTTATTTTGTGTTCTTGACTTTTCTTCTAGTCAAAACCTCCCGGAAAATAGCAAATAGAAGCTCTAAGACTGAGAACTCTTGTCTTTTTCCTGGTCTTTGGGAGAAAACTTTCAGTCTTTCATCATTAAGTATTTTCTTAGTTGCCCTGTTGCATAATGTGCCCTTTTTCTGGTTGGGGAAATTTCCTTTTATTTTTGATCCTCTTTTTTTTTTTTTTTAAATCATGACTGAGTGCTGAATTTTGTCAACTTCATTCCTTTTTGTATCTACCGAGATCTATAATTTTTTTAGTCTTTTATTGATAATGGTATGTTATAGTAATATTTGAATGTTAAACCAACTTTGCATTCCTGGTATAAATCTCACTTTGTTATAATGTACAATCTTGTTTATATATTGATGGATTCAGTTCGCTAGTATTTTGTTGAAGATTTTTGTATATATTCATAAGATTTTGTATATATTCATAGATTTTGTATATATTCATAAGATTTTGTATATATTCATAAGAGATACTGGTGTGTAGTTTTATTGTGAAATCTTTGCTTCAAGCTGGCATCAGGGCTTCAAAAACAGTGACAAGTGTTCTTTCCTAGTCCACTTTCTGGCAGAGTTTGTAAAGTGTTGGTATTAATCCTTCAAATGTTTGCTGGAATTCACCAGTGAAGCCGTCTGGACCTGCCTTTCCTTGTGGATAGTTTTTTGATTACTACTCTGCTACTACTCTTCAGATTTTCCATTTCTGCTTGATTGAGCTTTGATAGTTTGGGTCTGTCTCATCTGAGCCACTAGTGTTACCATGTTACCATGAGGCAGGTCACAGGAGCTCCTTATAACACTTCATATTTCTGCAAGGTCTGTAGTAATGTCTCCTCTTTCACTTCTGATTTTAGCAGTTAAGTCTCCTCACTTCTTTGGTCAGTCTGGCAAAAAGTTTGTTGGTTTTGTTGATATTTTGAAAGAACCAGCTTTCAGTTTCTTGATTTCTCTCTATTGTTTTTCTATTCTTTGTTGTACTAACTCTCACTTTAATCTTTCCTACATTTTTCTTACTTTGGGTTTAGGTGGGTGATTAGGTTACCGATTTGCAATCTTCATTCTTATTTAACAGAGATATTCATAGCTACAGTTTCCTTCTAAACACTGCTTCAGCTACATCCCCTCCACGATTTTTTTTTTTTGGCCTTCTTCGCACTTTGTGCCTTCTCTCCAGTTTGTACCCCTGACCCTACTGCTCCTTTGTGATCCCTTTCGCTGCCCAGTCTTCACTAAATGTAGCCAGAGAGCTTGGGTTCCCAACCACACCAGTGCTGGGTCTTGTCTTGTTTCACTAGCGCCCCCTAGCAGCTATGAAAAGAAGGTGCTATTATTACGTCTATCTTCTGTTGCAGGCAATTCTAGTGCAGGAAGTCTAAGTAGATAACTCACCAAGTTCTCTTACATCAAATTTGGCATTTGGTCTTCTCTCTTGGTACGTGCCTTCTCCCTGGCCAATTTTACTTTTTATAGTGCTATTTCTGTGTAGATGAGACCTACGCATTCATTGCTAGACTAGACTTCTCTGCTGACCTTTCAGACTAAAGCCCAGTCACCAACAGATACTATCTCTACCTGTCTGTCCTACAAACCTGAAGCAATCACAGCTGCTTCCTCATCTTCTTCAAACCTGCCTTTCTTCTTGACTAACATGCCACCGCTTACCTGCCTGCCCAGCTCGCCCAGATGGCAGCACTGGCTTAGTACCCCTGCATGAACATTGGCTCTACTCCCGCCCTTGGACTTTGGCAAGAGGCAATGTCTCTTGGATAATGCACAGTTCATCACTCCGCATCTTCACCCAGCCCTTGGTGGCATCTCTCCTGAGGGCCCCACTGGGCTTTCCTCCTGCCTTGGCTTATGATTTGACCACTGTCAGATTCCTGCTTCTATGCCACCACCTTAGGGCAGCAGGGTCTGGAATCCCGGGTTGGCTGAGTTGCCCTCAGACCTCTCTTTTGCAGCATCACTGTGATATAATTTATTAATTATCTGTGAAGTCATCTTCTCATTTCTGCCTGCTTCACTTAATCCTAAAATCCATGGGAACAGAGCCCCTTCCTTAGGTCTGCCCTCTGCACACGGGTTTTCTGACCCCTCGCCCAGAGCCTGGTCTTTCCAGGAAGCTCAGTAGATAGTTCTCGGGCAAGTGCACAGCTGTAGCTCTGGATTCTTCCTATTTGTGTTTCGTGTTGGCTTTCTCCATTTTGGTTGCCAGTGGAATAATGGAGACACCTTAGCAAGGCCAGCCGCATACTCAGCACACACAGGATGAGCGTGAGCTCAAGGCCAAGGGCTATAGAGATTTTGGAATACAGAGCTTAAGACACATTCCCTTCCAGGTAGATGCTCCCAGTCCAGACTGAGCTCAACAGCCATAGTACAAGGCAAGGCTGAGTGTGGACATGGCCTCCCAAGAACAGAGAGTGGCTTGTTCTGAGGTTTCAAGCCAGGTCCCAGAGACCACTGCATTTTTTTTTTTTTTTAATGTAGAACAGTGTATTATAATTCTGTACTCTTGAGTTGATCGCAATGATCTTGTGAGCATTTAATAGATTGTCCAAACTCCGGAGCGGGCTTTCCTTAAGCCTTTTGCTGTCTTTGAACTACCTGACACCTCTCTGTGTTTTCCTGGGACATTTGATGCTTCTTCAGCCTCCTGGTTGGTGAGGGATTCCCAAGTGCTTGCAAGTACGGCTGAAATTTCATTGAGCTGGTTTGGAGGCAAATACTGAAGCTTGGAGAAGAATTGGAAGACGGAATGCCGGCATCCTGGGCTTCGATCCGATGCCCTGTCTGCCATTGGACATAGTTACACCTATTCATTTCGATGGCTAATTACACTTAATCGTTGGCCTCTGAAATTGACTTTGCTGAGCAGTCACTTTTCTTATGGTCCATGAGTTACTGGAGATGGGAAGCGTGACCAGCACCGTGGTTTCCTGGAAGAAATGGGTTCCATGCTTCACATTTCCACAGTCTTGTCCACCTGGGGGGAAAAATGGATCTTGCTTAATTCTCTACTTCTTTGTCTGTTATATGTCCTTCCTTCCCGGAGAAGAGACAGGACGAAAGATAGTTGGTCATCCATATGTGAGGACAGCACACTTCCTCTTGGGTGGGAGGCAATGTTTGTAATGAAGAAAAACCCCATTCTGCTCCATTTTAGCAACCACTTGTGGCTGTTTCTTCTGTTACCTCAATAACACGTGACTCCTGGTAATTCTTAAAAAGAAAGTACCTATAATCATTTTAACTTTGATTGAAATTTGATTTGAATGAGTGGGCCCTCCAAACATTGTAGTTACCTGCCAACGCTTGCTGCTCAGTGACCCAGTCCATACCACGGCCTTGGCAGTGACCAAGCCACTGCCGCCAGCTCCCGGTATAGGTGGCCTGGGGACACCCCACGGGGGGGCAGTGACACTTGGTTTGTGTGCCAGGCCCACCTGTCTCCAGCCACGTGAAGTCCGGGAAGTTACACTCCCTGATGCCTTCTGTGCTTCTAGTGTTCTCAGTGCACAACGGGGACAGTGACACTGGGGCTGTAGGTGGTGAGGATTTCATGGGTTAATATAAACATTGAATAAATATTAACAGCATTCTCTTCCCCACCCCTGTAGTTATAAAAAATCATATAGTATGACCTGAATGTACTTTGGGTGAAACAATAAGGGTCCTCTGTGGTTTTGTGTGTGTGTGTGTGTGTGTGTGTGTGTGTGTGTGTGTGTGTTGGAGGGTACTTCATGCCCATCTCCCCTTTCCCTTCCCTTGATGCCACCTCCCTTGGACTGACTTGGCACCTTCTCCCTAGACACAGGGATGCTCAGGGTCGTGGTCTAAGAAGGAGAAACAGACTGACTGTAGTTAGCTACTTAATAGAGCAACGGTCCTATTGAAAATTGGAGATTGACCATAATTACTAGAATTCTAGACTATTTAAATGAAATTCAAATTATCTTATGTTGGGAGCATGAAAGCAAAACATATCTCTCCTGTTCTTTTTAAGCTACCAAACGAGGGTAATGTGCTCCTTCTCAAGATTTTCTTCTTTTTCTTTTCTTTTTCTTTTTTTTAAACGAATTGTCTCCCACGTCTGGTTCCTCGGCAAGGTGCTTCCTGGTGACAGTCAGAGGTCCTAAGCAACATGCCGGAACAGAGCAATGACTACCGCGTGGCCGTGTTCGGGGCCGGGGGCGTTGGCAAGAGCTCGCTGGTGCTGAGGTTCGTGAAGGGCACGTTCCGGGAGAGCTACATCCCCACGGTGGAGGACACCTACCGGCAGGTGATCAGCTGTGACAAGAGCATCTGCACACTGCAGATCACCGACACCACAGGCAGCCACCAGTTCCCGGCCATGCAGCGGCTGTCCATCTCCAAGGGCCACGCCTTCATCCTGGTCTACTCCATCACCAGCCGGCAGTCGCTGGAGGAGCTCAAGCCCATCTATGAGCAGATCTGCGAGATCAAAGGGGATGTGGAGAGCATCCCCATCATGCTGGTGGGGAACAAGTGCGACGAGAGCCCCAGCCGCGAGGTGGAGAGCGGTGAGGCCGAGGCCCTGGCCCGGAAGTGGAAGTGCGCCTTCATGGAGACCTCAGCCAAGCTCAACCACAACGTGAAGGAGCTCTTCCAGGAGCTGCTCAACTTGGAGAAGCGTAGGACCGTGAGCCTCCAGATCGACGGGAAAAAGAGCAAGCAGCAGAAAAGGAAAGAGAAGCTCAAAGGCAAATGCGTGGTCATGTGAAGTCCCGTCCGTGGGAGGAGCCACGGCGTGTCCCCCTATCCCCACTCCCATCCCCTTCCCCACCTCACGTGACACCCGCTGTCGTCAGGGTAGCATGTCTGATGCCCACGTGTTCAACATCGCCTTTGGACCGAGCCACACGCCCTGTCCTCCCTGAGAGGGCCCTTCAAGCCACCATCGATAAGCACCCCCTCTCCAGAATCAGGGATTCTTCCCAGCCCTTTGGATGGACGCCCTGCCTTGCCCGGCCTTGTGGGGGATGGAGAGGCTCTGGCTGTCTCCAAAGGCGGCTTCACCAGGAAAGGATGGTCTGGGTTGGCGGGAACGGGTCCCGTCTGCATGCTTGCGACAGTGTGGGACCCCAGCCACGGCCCACCCTGACCAGGCCATCCCCCCCCAACTCGCTCAAAGCTGGACACCCTTGGGGCCGGGAGGGGCGGGAGGGGAGGAGCCCAGGCCAAGCTCATTCCATTTCAGGTCCTTTAGCTGAATTACAAATAACATGTCACAGTGGCCCCCGGAGGGTGCTCGCTGACGGGTCCCTGACATGTGAGGTTTGCTGCTTAAGGGGGAGGCACTCCCAACACCAGACCTCGTTAGCGGGTGTCCCTGTCACTTTTAGGAGGATTTATTTCACATACAGTGGTGGCATCCTGCTGGGTCAGACACCCTGCAGGGTGGGAGCAAGGGTATCTGGACTGACTAGCGCAGTGTCCTGGCACTCGGTGAGTTCCCCTTGAGGGTTTTAGAGATGTGCTTTATCTTCCCTTTGACCCAGGAGGGGTCTGCTTCTTCCAGCCCCTCAGGTTTTAAATAAAGGCAATTAAAGTAGCCATTATTTTTAGACAGCTGTTTGCCTTCCAAGATGGTTTCCTTCTTCTCGGTAACTCCATCTATATGCCGCTGGAACAGCCAGCAAAGGCCATCCGAAGACCAGAAGCACATCTGTTTTCTAAGTCACATGGACACCTCTACGCCATACTCTGCCCCTCGATGAAATACTTCGAATCAGAAGTCGTTCACTGTGTTTTTGATGATCTGTCTGTAACAGAAGCATATTCCCAGAAAGCGTGTTCAAGGAATGGGTTATCTTGCATGCTCTGTGACACCAGTGTCTTCTCATCGCTGTTCGACGTGCTCTCCACTCCGGAAACAATGATCTTTTCCTCTTAATGACCTTGTGTGCATCCTTAATCCTCCAGACCAAATCAGGGCGTCTGCTGGTTCCTGCGTGCTGGCGAGGAGATGGGTGGAGGCTAGAGGCAGGCTCAGCCCGCTCAGCTTAACTGCTGTGTCCAGTCTGGTTTGGCTTTGCTTCCAGAAAGTTCCCACCGACAGAGCCTGTGAGCCCTCCTGTTTGTTCGAGTCGGTGTTGCTCACACTGGCCCCAATTCCAGAATCTTCCTTTTAGCAGGGCTTCCTGCCTGGCAGGTGGAAGAGGCTGGAGGGGGTCCTGGTGTGGGACGGGGAGCCCCCAGCTGTCAGATGGCCACTCCAGCCTCCACAGAGTGGTCAAGTTGGGGATGTTTGCTTTCAGCCCCTTTCGTTCTGCTCTTGTCTAGACAGCTCCGTGCACTGGGCACACCCTCTATCAGCCCTTTCTGGTTCAGCATCCTTGGCTTTGCTGTTCTTCTGTGCTCTGCCAGCAAGTACCCAGGTGGTATGGGTGGTGCCATGTGTGGGAGACACCACTGAGAACCAGCCGCCCCACTATCTTCCCACATGTTGGTCTTCTAGTGGCACCCTGAGCAGGGAGGGTGTGGATGTGGCCTGCATGCCAGTGGGGTTGGGGAGCCCAGAAGGATGCCTCAGCCAGACCACAGGTCCCAGCAGGTCCTAAGGGAGGCCCCTCCCCCATGGTGGCTGCCCCACAGCCTTCACAGCAACACCTGGCTGGTGAACTTTCTAGAACATTTATTTTTCAACCTAGTCCTACTTTTTTTTTTTTTTTTACTTGTTTCTATTCTTTGAGAGACGTGACCAGTTTGTCATTTGGATGTGGGTTAAGTGGAAGAAGAAACAGGACGTCACAGCCACCATCGGAGGCTGTGGTCTAGCAGGGGCTGTGTGCGTGTCCCCGAGGCTCCTGGCATGAGGCCTCCCTGCCAGGCACCCTGTCCTCACTGGTAGAAGTCACAGTTCCTGTTCTGCCTCTCATGTCTCAGTCTGCCACTGAAGCATTTAGAGCTTCATCAATAGAGTTTTGGGTTTTTTTAATTAACATACAATGAATTATTTGTTTGGGGGTACAGGTCTGTGATCATCAGTCTTACACAATTCACAGTGGTCACCATAGCACATACCCTTCCCAGTGTCCATCCCCCAGCCACCCCAGCCCTCCCACCCTCCTCCGGCAACCCTCGGTCTGCTTCCTGAGATTAAGAGTCTCTTATGGTCTGTCTCTCCCTCTGGTTTCAAGGCAGAGGGTTATGGGGGAAAAGAGGAAAAAATAGGAGGAGCTTTTAATGGTTGAAAACTGGAGCCATTTTGCTCCTTTGTACTTTGCCCATGAGTTTCTGGGAAGGCTACTGGTGCCTCTGTCACAGGTCTTCGTTGGGAGATCATTGTCCATGAACCACACTGAGGGTTTGATGATGATCTCAGCACAGTCTTGGAGGAGATCCCCAGTTGTCTCAGGGCTCAAGGAGTTGGTTCCCCGAATTGGATGTGCTTAGTATTTAGGTGGCCCTGTCCTGAGTATGTCCCTGCTGTTCTGAAGGACCCTTCCAAACATTGCACATGGGCACAGAAGTGGTTGACCTGGCCACAAGATGTCACGAAACTCAAAATATTGCTTTGAAGATGGCATTCTGGGGATATGCCTGGGGCTCCATGAGTCCCCTTGTGTCCCTTCTGGTCCCTCCTCCATCTGGTGACAAGCCATGGGCGTGCTCCGGGCATGCATGCAATACAAAGACCAACAGGAGCAATATTGAATTGTTCCCTGGATCTAACACTATATATACATCTTATGTGTGTATATATATAATTTACCTTCCTGCACTTTTGAGGTATAAAGCCGTACATTGTACATATCTATAAGCTAACGTACTTGTTTCACCATTTCTAATATCGAAGAAATGCTCATTCTTTGTAGAACAAACAACTGTTAAAGATTTTAAAAACTGTTCTGTGATTAGTTTCCTTTTCAAGATTTGTAACGTGTCGCTTGTACATAAGCTCTCTGAAAGCGTCCGTCGCTAACGGGACCCACGTAAGCCCTCCAAGCCCCATCCCAGAACTTGGACCTCCACAGGGACAGTACGTGGACAGGAGTATTTACAGAGCATGACTTTTCTACGTGTGGGAGACCAACGTGTGTATTTATACTCACGGTGTCTATTGTTACATTTCCATGATCGATTCTGTTTTATTTACTCTTCAGTTACAGAAACCACCCTTGCATACCAGTTTCTAGTTGTCAGTGATGTTCTGAAAATAATGAAACCTATTGAAATAAAGCTTCCATTCTGACCCTCTGGAGGTGGTGGCTCTGATTCTTTGTGGTGCGGCCTGTCAGGGAGGGAGGGTCTTAAGCTTGTTCTCCTGGACCTGCTCCGTGGGCTCACCGCCGGACGGGAGGCCATCAGGCTCTGTGTGGGGCTGGGATGGGGACAACGTTTCCAAAGGTTTCCTTTCTTCCTCGCTTCCTCCCTCCCTCTCTTCCTTTCTTCCTTCTTTCCAAGATTTTATTTATTTGTTAGAGAGAGAGAGAGAGAGCAGGAGCAGGAGTGGAGCAGCAGAGGGAGAGGGAGAAACAGGTTCCCCGCTGAGCAGAGAGCCCGAAGCGGTACTGGATCCCAGGATCATGACCTGAGCCGAAGGCAGATGCTTCACTGACTGAGCCACCAGGTGCCCCTCCAGAAGGTTTTCCCAGGTGTTCCCTGGTGTGGGACATGAAGGCCAAGGAAGAACCGAGTCTCCTTACTACCTGCAGCTCACTGGCAGGTGTGGACAGGGTGGCCTGGCATCCCTCTGGGAGCTTGGCTGCCTGGGTGTTGGTACTATGCTGGGGCGGGGAGCCCTGGGGCCCTGTGCATTTGCTTTGGCACGTAGAAGTTCCTCTGGAGACTTCCTTTGTCCCTAACCCCCCCCCAGAGACCCGTGTTGTTGATCATCCCCCAAGCATATGACCCACCGATGTACCCCCGGGGGCCTCACGGCTGGGCTTTTGTTAGGCGGTAATGAATGGCCTTTTCCCCACAATGCCTGGTCCGGTCAAGGTCCTGCCTTCCAAAATTCCTAGAGACTTACACTGCCCCTGACCCCCTGCCCACTTGAAAGTGGATGGTTGGTCACCCCTCTCTTCCTGGCATCCTGTCCCCGTGCTTTAATAAAAGCACCTTCTTGCATCAAAGACATCTCAAGAATTTTTTCTTGGCTGTTAGCTTCAAACCCTAGCATCTTCGGTATATCAGTCCCTACCAGCCCCTGTCCCGGGCTGCCCCACTCAGGCTTCAGGAGCTGAGCTGGGAGGGACAGAGTAGAGGCAGGGGGCTCCTTGGCTTCCGAACAGGAATCAAGAGAATCTCCTTTTTAACCCTGTGTCTCCGGCTCCAACCCCCTCTCAAGGGCAGGCTGTTAAGTGGGTTTGCTATTGAGAACCCAGAGCTGTTTCTGGGCTCAGTTCCTGCTGGGCACCCTCGGTCCTCACTCCTCCTTCTCAATGCCGATTATAATACAAACTCGACTTCTGGGGACACGGGGAAAACAAACCAACAACTCTAAACCAGGTAAAACCCTATGTCTGCCTGTGAAAAGCCAGGTGACCCGGGCAGGGCTGGATTTTAACCTCTGATCTTCTGTGAAAGGGGAATTAGCGCCCGCCACAGAGGTGGCCTTCAGGATTCAATTAAAAAGCGCAAAGCACGGAGCGTTGTCTAGTCACATGCTGGGCCTTCCGGAGACACCGGCGACCGTGTAGGACTCGGCCTGGAAGGGCTGTGACGGTGTGGAGGTGAATCTGTGCCGGCACAGCCCGCAGCCAGCTCGCCTCCCTTTCCCGAAGCCTCTTTGATGGCTTTCCTGCTCTGGCTCTCCGCCCCTCGTTATTGCCCCATTATTCAGGGCTTTCTCCAACGTAACAGATAATTGCAATCAGCAGGCCCCATTCGGCCCCATTAAAGGGCATCCCATCTGGTGCTTATCAGGCTTCAATGTGCAAATAAAGCTCTTGGATGGCCTGGTGACTCCCCGGAGCTGGAGCCTGCAGGGGTCCCCCGGGCCTGGACATCTGCATTCCTAGGAGGCTCCCGGCTACCACGCTCTGCTCCTGGTCACCGACCACACCTGGAGTGGCGATGTGGTCTTCACTTTGCACTCCGAAGCCCGCTGCAGGCTGGAGTCACCTGGAGGCGTTCTGAAGCCTCCTGATCCCCGAGCCCTGATGCAGAAATCACTATGTAGTAGGGCTCCAATGCGGCCTTAGCTCAGGATGTGTGGGGGGAATCCAAACATAGAGTAAGGTTGGAAAGCCCCTGCTGGGAGCTAGGATTAGCTGGGAATACCTGCCGCTTCCCTAAAACTCCCTGAGGGAAGAATGTTGTTTATTTAATCAAGATTCCCTTTTGGGCAAGTATCCTAGGCCAGCAGGTCCATGTGCACACTCCATTCCTGACAGCCTAAGTTTCCGCGGACCCCGAAGACCGACAGCCCCCCATCCGTCCTCTCAGGGCTCCGCCAACCTGCCACTGCCCCCAGAAAGCTTGGCTGGGGTCAGAGGTCCGTGCTTCTGACATCTGCACTCCTCTGGTCAGTTCCTTTGTCCCAGGGCCTGGTCTGTTTCTTTGTCCCAGGGCCCCTTAGCCTTCCATTATCTCCTTCGGACTAAGAGCAGCTTTTGCCCAACCTAGAAGATGCCGTCACGGGTGGACCCAGAGAGGCCGCCCCCCGCCTCAGAGATGGGAACTTCCGCACCATCCTGACAACACTGCTGTACTGACGCGGGAGCCGGAGCGAGCTGTCGACAAAGCACCGGCTGACATCCCGCACCCCCACACTCCCGGGGGGCCTTCCCCAGGCCCTCAGGCCGCCCCAGAACCAAGGGAAGGGAACACAAACGGCTCACGGACAGAGGTCACAGGCCTGCAGGATGGGAGTCTCCCTCCCTTACCAATATCTTAGCGACGACAAGGAAAAAGCGTTCATGTCAATGACCCGACTTCCAGAGACTCACGGACTCCATTTCCCAGAGCCCCAGCATCACCTCCCCTCCATGAGTGACGTGGGGAACCAAGGCAAAGGGAAGATAAAGTCGTTTCTTCATGACCTACAGCCCGTTGACAAGGGCCTGGGAAAGGCCGAGCGTAGGGTTTCCCCGGAAGCTCCCACTGTCTTCACGTTAGTGTCTTACTGGGGGACAACGACCTTAACTGGGCAACGGCCAGGCCTCCGGTATCCTGAGAGTCTTCTTGAGCAAAAGAAGTCCTGTGGGATGCTTCCCTCTGTTCTGGCCTCCCCCAGCTACTCAATGGAATCAGTCCCCCGTCCCCCAGCTCCCCAGTGGAATCAGTCCCCCCTCCCCAAGCTCCCCAGTATAGAATTAGTCACCCCTCCCCCTCCCCTCCTCCCCAGTATAGAATCAGTGCCCCTCCCCCTCCCCTCCTCCCCAATATGGAATCAGTCCCCCTCCCCCTCCCCAGCTCCCCAGTATGGAATCAGTCCCCCTCCCCCTTCCCTCCTCCCCAGTATAGAATCAGTCCTCCCTTTCCCTTCCCCCAACTCCCCAGTATAAAATCAGGGCAGCTCTTTCTGCCCAAGGGTCCTGTCCCTGGGCTTTAATAAAACCGGCTTCTGCACCAAAGACATCTCAAGAATTCTTTCTTGGCCGTGGCTGCAGGTCCAAACCCACCTCACACACACGGCACACACGCACACGCTCACTTTATAGTCATAAAGCAGCCCTCAGAGTTAGACACTACAAGCACCCCCCATAGGCAGTGTGACAACCACAGGGTGGGGTTCAGGAGCAGACAGGAGGACCAGGGCATAGGCTTCATGTAAGACACCAACGTCCCGTTGAGACAGCGATCTGCAGTTGTAAATTTGTGTGTCGAAATCCACTGCTGCGACCGGATGCCCTCATGCTTCCATTGCTCTGAGGTCCACTGTCGGTGTCCCCGTCCCATCCCTGCACATTTGAGTCGATTCCCATGTCCAGGCGGCTGCCCTGCGAACCCCAGGAAGCCCTCCCCTGTCATTAAAACCCAGCGGAATCTCCCCACCGACTGAATCCCTCTT